GTGTGCATGTGCTTGAGAACAATGAAAATAAGTGCTGCACTTTCAAGCAGCATTAATAGCATAAAGTAGTAACATTAGTTATTCTCAAATTTGTCACAGGACAATTTCAATTAAAGTCATGCCATCAGTTCCAACTAATCAAGCCCTTAGCAAAATTTATGATCTCTCTACAACTTCAGTTTTCCTTCCAACTGCCCTTCCAGTGTTACCCTGAGTCACCTTCTGGCTGTTGGGACCACTTTGGGAGTGACCCAGAGGAAGGAGATTGCTCACTCTCTCACTTTGCCTTTTCAAATAAAGAATTAAATCTTTAAAAAGTTTTAGCCACCTTATGCATATTCTTCCCTTTTGTTTCCTATTCTTACTTAGGGAATAGGTCATTCATTTTTCTTTCCAAATGATCTCTTGTGGTCACAATCACATTACCCCCAGTGTGAGGTCTCCTCAGTTCTCCTATGGCCCTTCAGAGTTCAGGACTTCTGAACTCTGATGCCAGGGCCAGATAAATCTTATAACAACCACCATCACTAAGCACTTGTTCCATGCCATTTAGCACTATGCTAAATGCTTTGCATTGATTGTCTCACTTACTATTCACAACAACCCTATGAGGTGCCATTATTCTTACTTTACATGTACGGAGACTAAAGCATGAGGGGTTGAAGTGGACTGCCCAGGTCACAAGGGAGGCAAGACAACACCAGCCTTCACACATGTGCAGTTTGACACAGAGCCCGTGTTCTTAACTCCTACCTCGTTCTGCCTTCATGCTGGCTCTCAGAGTACAGGAAGAAGCTTTAGGGATGCCCTATTTCCTACCAACACATGTCTAATTTCTGCTTCCTACCTCACATAGGGCTCTACAGTTCTACAGCACCTCCTTGTGAATCAAGTCAGGCACCTCATGGCGTCTGAACATCCCTCACTAACTTCTACTTTGGTGTGTTTGTTAGAGTCCCGCCTTCGGTTATCTGCTTTGTCCCGTTATCTCTTGGAGTCCTACCCAGAGTTAAAGCTGAGCTTCCACTTTCCTTCTGAAGCCTTCTCTATGGATTTGATGTCTTGCTGCTCTTCCTCCTTGCTCAACTGCACTGGCCAACATCCCACACAGTCCTTGCCACAAACCAGCAGAGTCTCAAGGTCCCCAGAACTCACAGTTTGCTCTATATTATCTCCACTATGCTTTCATCAGGTGTAGCATGATGCTCTGGGAGAGGTCTCTAACTTACATATTAGAAATGTGGCTGGGTAGATGACTTCTTTCATTCAGCCTTTCCTCTGTCCCATCACCATGACAGTGAGTAAGAGGGAAAGTTGTCTTGGCTGAAAGTCTGTCATAAAAGGCCATTATCACGGAAACTTTGTTATGAACAAATCAGTACTATAAGTGATTTTTCCAAGTATTTATACATATAATTCATACTACTAATAATGAAAAAGAATCAAATTTCTGACTGTTCATAGTAGCCAACAATTTGCATGTGTAGTTGGGGGCTTGCTGGTTACAGATCCTTAGTTTCCACAACTTATTTTCAGTAGGGTCTCTAAGATTCTGATGCACTTAGTGCACAACTGTCCTGTGAAAGCATTGGCAAGGACCGTGTTCTAGAAGTTGAGCTCTAGGGCTAGTGCTGTGGCATTCCACATGGGTGCTAGTTAGTCCTGGCTGGTCCACTTCTGATCCAGGTCCTCACTAATGTGCCTGGAAAAGCAGTGGAAGATGGCCCAAGTATTTGGGCCCCTGTACTCATGAGGGAGACCTGAAAGAAGCTCCTGGTTCCTGGCTTTGGACTGACCCAGCTCCAGTCATTGCAGCCATTTGGGGAGTGAACCAGCGATGGAAGATCTCTCTCTCTCTCTCTCTCTCTCTAACTCTCCCTCCTTCTAATTCTCCCTTTCAAATAAATAAATAAATAAATCTTAAAAACAGAAACAAACTGGGATCTCAAAAAGATCACACTTAGGAAATATGCTACCAAATATTCCTCAATGCTACTACGCAGATTTGCAATTGAGAATGGATTGTTTCTCCATGATTATCTGCAGTTTAATGTTACCAAATTTAGCATGCCTCTTTAAACATTGTTAGTAAATAATATGAGCAACTTTATCCTAACATATAACAACTTATAAATAAAAATGCATTCAGCGTGCTGCTCAGCATCCATCTTTTCATTCCAGCCTAAGACACCGCCTTTCTAGAAGTGATGGCAATGGGACAGATGACTTCCTGCCACTCTGATAAAGGTCTGGGGTCTGCTCCAGCTGACTCAGCCCCATCAAAGCTCAGGACATTCCTGTTGCTAGATTATACACAAAATGTGCTTATTTTCCTGCTGGACTTTCTACCGTGGTGGATCGGTCTGCTTTTCATTACTGTAACAAAATGCCTGACACAAACCTCTTAGGAAGCAAAGAAGCTGATTTTGGCTCACGGTACTACTGTGACTTCACAGACCCACATCAAGCACCTAAGTTATTTTGGCTTCTGAAGAGGCTGACAGTGGTAGAACATACAGAAGGGATGGCATGGCATGCCAGGAGGCTGAGAGAACAGTTGGAACCAACTTGGCTTTTAGAACCAACCCTCTTGTGGGAACTACCTTCCAAAGGCACCCCTGTAATGCCCTAAGGAGCCCTCACAAGGCCCACCTCCTAAACACCATAAGTGGATTAAGTTTCCACCTCCTCAGTACTATTACGCCTTTGGGGTCTAAATACAGGCATGAGCTCAGGAGCCAAATCTTTCTCAAACCATAGATGAGACTCTTTTCGCTCCCTGACTGACTCTACTGCTGGTGTTGCTGGAACCAACACTTTGAAAAGCATCATTCTTAGGAGCTGACTTAGTCATAATGTCAAAGACACAGTGGTTCTATTTTCAGCTACCACAATTCAATAATTTACCATGCCTATATCCCCTATAAATTTTGTTCCCAACAACTGTGGCCACACATCAGAATCATACAGCGATCTTCATTTAGATGGGCATGGCCAAGCATCACTGAGTATTAAGATTCCAACCCAGTGGGTGTTGGGGCCCAGCGTACCACAGGTGGTTCTGACATACAGCCCGATATGTGTCCCAACAGAACACTACTGATGCTCAAATGATCACTCTCACGTGATTTAAACAATGAAGCAAGGTTACATTCTGGAGTTTCAGAGTTAGGGTTAGGTAATATGAATTTTGCAGTGATTTTTACAAGTCACTTAATTGTTCGTGGGAAAATGGAATTCAAACATAGGTTTACTTTGTTGCTAAAAATCTTGAAAGTTTTTTCATAATAGGCATCTTCACGAACTTTTTGAAGACCCTGCATATGTAAGGATTTCAAAATTTTTGCAGCAAAATAAACTTATCTTTTAACTGAACTTTTGCATGAACTTTGTGATATAGGCCTGTATTACTGTTACTGCTACTGGTGTCATAATATATATAATACATTGAACATTTATTATAAGCCAGGCTCTGTGAAATATTTACCTACATTATTTCATTTCATCTTCACAAGCTTTCCTTTTTCATTTTTTCTTTCTGTTGAATCTCTTTAATGCTGCTAATGGTAAGTCTGTAAAATATTTTCACAAGCTTTGGGGTGGGCATTATTATTATGATTCCATTTTACAGATGAAGACACCACAGCTTGGAAACGTCAAGTTGCCCAAGGATAGCAACAGGATCTGAACTACTCAAAGTTCACATTTTTAAAAACTGCAACCCCAAAGTTGCTGATTCCATCTCTGGTTTTATTTTCCCCTTATCACTACTGAATCTAACTGCATGTTTTGCTTGCCGACGTACTGCCCCTCTCAGCACAAGGTAAGCATCAAGAGGGACAGGAATTTTGCTTATTTCACATACAACTCTTTTCCTGCTGTCTAACATAACACCTGGTCATGTCTAACACAGATTAAGTACTCAATGTATTTTGTTCAGGGAATGGAGAGTGAATGATGTTTAAGGAAAATTATACAGGCATTTTGGAAAACAATTACCAAAAAAAATGAACTACTTTTTCACAAGACTTCTCTAATTTCTGTTGTCTATTCTGTGGATTGGTCAGGCTTGAAAAGTTTTTATTATTTAAAAATGGTAAGATTATTTGCATAGGCATTAAAACTTATGAAATATACAAGTGGAAAGGTTTATCCACATGACTTGTCTAAGCAGAAGTGAGTGTTTAAGATCCTTCTGGGGGCCATTTAGCCTAATAGTTAAGACACAGGTTAAGTAAGATTCCCACAGCTTGCACTGGAATACCTGGGTTTGATACTTGGTTCCAGCTCCTGATTCCCTAGTCATGGCTCAATTGGTTGGGTTCCTGCCACCTGCACTGGAGATCTGGATTGAGTCTCCCAGCTTCAGCCACTGCTCAGTCCTGGCCATTGTGTGCATTTGGGTAGTGAATCTCTTGCTCGCTCACTCTTCTTCTCACTGTCTCTCTGTCTGTAGCCTATCTGTCCTTTTCCATTTTTGACTAAATTTAAAAAAAAAGATCCTTTTAAATAAAAATGGTAGTATAGCCTACCTTATTTTCTGCGTGTTACAATGAGTCAGTGGCTAATCTAAGCTTGAGCAGCTATTTAGATAACCAAACAACTAGATGTAATGATTATTATAATGTGTATGACTAGAAGTGGCATTATTTTGATAGGCTTTCTACAATTAAGATATACATCATATACATCATACATCTTAAGTATTAGTTCTTTGGTGCATAATTTACAGCATAAACTTACAAAACAAATCTTCTGAGTACATTTTGGGTAGTCACAACATCCAGCATAAAAATCCAAATAGTTCAATCGTATTTTGTTAATGAAATTGTTAACTCAAAAGTAACACAGTTTCTATTATAGAATGGATTTATGCCAAGATAAATACATAGTCAAGCACTTTCTTCTCAACTACATGGACATTTGCTGGAGTATTTACATACTAGAAGAGTGTCAAGTCCTTCATTACTAATGCTCTTGCTAATAACCGCACAATTTACCTTGTCATCAGGAAGTACATGCCAGATAGATATTGTTTTTTCTTCGACTTCATTGTTGATAGACAAATAAGAAGGCTGGTAGATTTTGGTTGGTTCTAATATTAATACCTTGAAAAGATAAGGCAAAGAAACTGATGTCAGTGACTTTAGATTTGAACCACTCAGAGCTGCTATAAAGACCCAGAGCAAGTTGATCAGAGGAGGTTCTGCTTAAACCACTTGAACTTGCAATTACTGTCATGCTTATTAGTTCTTTGAGCATCTCATGGTATTATACAATTATCATATGGTCCAATAATGCATCATTCTATATCACTAATGGAATTGGGAATAAATTTTTGAAGTCCATATACTGGTTCAGCTATCCCCCCAGGGGATCTTCTAATGAGACTTTTTGAAAGCCTATATTTTATCATGTAGGACATGAGTTATTTCTATAAATATAAATGTATCAAAAGAAGGCAGAATCGTGGTGAAACAAGTAATTCTGAGCACAGGAAAGATTCCATATATAGAAATATATTTTAGGTTTCTAGTGTCACACGTTATCATAAAAATGTAGTATACAGTATGGTTTTAGCACCCATGCAAGTTGATTTGGAAATGATTTGGGTTATTATTTTATATATAAAAGTCTTTTATATTTATATGTGTGTATATATATAAATATATATAACAGAGAAGCAGACATAGCTGTACGAAAAATAAAAATATTTTTGCATGACGTTTAAGATAAAACAGGCATCTTCAATAGTGATATATTTAGCCTTGTGTGAGAAAAAAAGAATAAAAATTTGCTCCTATTTTGGAGATATCTGAGGGGTACCTGATAAGTGAGTTGACAATTTCCATCAAAGACCAGCCTGCATGAGATATCCTATTATTACTAACATCTCACATCAGAAAAGAATAGCATTAAAATACCACACAGGTCCTGATTTCAAAGGAACTGTAATTATTATGTATTTGTACAGGTACTTAAAGGCACCTGCCTAATCCACATTTTCTATGCAGACTTCAGTAAGAATGATTTAAGAAAAAGAAAGAAAGCCAATACTTCAGTATCAGGGAAACTGGAACAATACTTGCTAAGTTCCACTGCTTAAAATTTAAGAAAATTGCCTTCAGAACTAATTTTGAATCAAATGCATTTCCAAATAAAAGTAGAGGGAAAATCCTTCAGAAGGTTCTATCAACAAGGAATTGCAGATACACAATGCATTAAAATGTAAGGAAGAAGGCACAAGAATTTGGTCAGAAAACTGACTCCTGGCCACACCGCAAACCCAATGTGTTTCTCTTAGTTTAAATTTATCACAATTATACATTTATGTGTGGTAAAGTACAGAGAATTAGAAGAAGGGGTCCAGACAAACAAGATTTCTTTTACTCTCTGAGTATAAAAACTTTAAGGCTCAAACAATTCAGGCTTTAGTGATGAAAAATAAGGCAGATGAGGTTACATCAAAATGTTCACGGAAAATGTAACTGAAATAAGTTGATTTTGGTGCAAAAATTTTGAAATCCATACATATAAGGAATCTTCAAAAAGTTCATGAAAAATGAACATTATGAAAAAACTATACATGAATTTCAAAAGTTTTTGGAACCAAAATCAACCTCTGTTTCCATTCTATTTTCCACAGAATTTCTGAAGTACCCTCATATCACAAACACACAGTGAGAGCCTACCACGGACCTATTCTGACTCTGGAATCTTGTCAACAGGTGAACCAAGGCCCAATTTCCAAGAGAAGGAGAGTGAAATGGTGCTAACTAGTACTAGCAACCAGTTTCAAATCTAAATGCTGTGGAGATGGTTCTAGCAAATCTGAGTATCCCAGAGCTTGTGAAATTAAAACAAATAATAGGTAGTAAAAGGTAGGTTTCCCAAAACATTAAGCAAATATCCTCACTGACAAATAAGAGCATGAAAGGCTTTTCCAAAAGTTCATAGAAAATGCATATTATGAAAAAGCCATTCATGGATTAGATTTTTTTTTGCACCAAAATAAACTTATCTTTTAATTTTGAAGTCCCATTGTCTACCTTATCCCCCCAACAATGTGGACATGCTATTTTACACTAGAAAGGCCCAGTACTAAATGAATTCTTCTCTTGTTAAATGATCTCTTTTTTGTTGTCTCAAGTATTTCTAATAGATAAACTCTGAACCATGTGTCACTAACTTGGCACAGGTTACAATTACTATTATCTAATGCTTGGTGTGCTTATTGAGCTCTGATCTGCTCCTGAAATGACAAAATGTGAGGTATTTGTAGCACATATTATAGAGGTCACAGAAGGGCTGAGAAAAGGTGAAGAAAAGGAGGCAATATGACAATGCCAAGAAGTTAGTCACAATTCACTTAGGAGCATACAGAATCTTGCATTTAGTCTTAGTCTTTTCCATTCATTAGCATTACAACCAACTGCTAATTTCATGTATCAAAGCAGGAAGTAGGACAGCCAGGTCTCTGAACCATAAAAAGCAGATATGTCTAGAGCTACATGTCTAAGATCCCATAGAATCTTTGAAAGCAATACACTCTTTCTCTTCCTCTTTCTAGAACTAGATGATAATGGGTAAGTGGTCTGCAAACTTTTCAATGTGAGGTAAAAAGAAAATACACCAAGAAGAGAAATACAGGAAAAGAATAAATCAAACTCAATAATAATAAACAATGAAATCATTCAAATAATTTCCCAAATACACTTTTTTTAAAGATTTATTTATTTATTTATTTGAAAGTCAGAGTTACACAGAGAGAGGGGAGAGGCAGAAAGAAAGAGATCTTCCATCTTATGGTTCACTCCCCAATTGACCGCAACAGCCAGAGCTGTGCTGATCCGAAGCCAGGAGCCAGGAGCTTCTTCCAGGTCTCCCACACAGGTGCAGGGGCCCAAAGACTTGGGCCATCTTGTACTGCTTCCCCAGGCCACAGCAGAGAGCTGGATCAGAGTGGAGCAGCTGGGTCTCAATCCGGCGCCCACATGGGATGCCAAGGCATTAACCTGCGCCAGCCCCCAAATATACTTTCAATACTCCTTTGCCCAAGGTCACAGTTATTTACTTGGAGGAATAAGAAGGAATATGGTGGTATGACCAGAAGCAATTAACTTAAATATTTTCTAATATAAGCCATCCTGGCTGTTAGTCAGATCCACTTGAAAGGAAGGCTAATGCTATCTTCCTAATCGAGACCTACTGCAGAGTGAGATGCAGGAGATGCCCTTCTAAGGACATGATGATTTACAGTGACTGACAGTACCACAGGTACCAGAAACCCACAATTCTCCATGTCATGGAGAACGGATGGAAAATTCCTGAAGTAGTCACAATGTATTACCCAAATAAACTTTGTTTTTTTCCTACAATATTGTCTATACTGACATTTTAAAAATTCCCCTTATTGGCTTCATTATTTGTAAAAGCAATTTCTTCACGGCTTCTGCATTGCTTGATCATACATGTAAACACAAAAGCATATTCAAGTAGCTGACCCTCAGGCAAATTTCCATTGAACTCAGAACTTTTTGGGATACTTCTGTTTTCTGAAATCAACAGAAAAAACTCAAGAAGAGCTAGAAAACTGCACAATTTGCACAGTTTAATACCAATCATGGGAAAGCAATCTGGAGTACAAGTTATGAATTCTAACATTGGAGTACTATTTAGAAAGTAGGAAAACACTGCATTTTACAGTCTTTTCATAAAAAAGATTGTCCTCAAGTAAGTCACTAGATCAAAGAAGGAAATGGACTGCTGAAAGAAAAAAGAAACAATAGGTATGTTTGCAAGATGTGTAGCAAACACTTCTGTGTGTCTACTACCAGCAGAAAACAAAGTGCAAATGTTCTTATTTGCTTTAAAACTTGTTAAAAAGAAATGAAGAGCTGCCAATAAAGCTGAAGTCTCCACAATCCCTTTTACAATCCTAGCATTCCACCTCCATAGATCTAGATCATACTCCACAATATCCAGCAATTCCTCTGCCCCCAGCATTCTCTGAAAAGGCTCATGTCCTCAAATATTTGCCTACTGTTCTAAAACATTTTAATTCTTTAAATTCAGCAGGCAAAAAAAAAAAAAAAAAGAAAAGAAAAAAAGAGTGTCTTAATTTGCATTTTCTTATGACCTGCCTATTTTTCTTTTTCCTGTTTCCTTGTTAGTTTTTTCTTATTTATTTGGAAGCATTTTTTAGGTATTAGGCAAATTGAGCATTTTTGCAGCTTTTGTATTAAATATTTTCTCCCTATCTAGTCACTTCCTATTTGGCATGTTTATGATGTTTTTACTGAACAAAATCAAATTGGTCAAGAGAGTCGCCCCTCAGTATCTGCATGGGATTGGGTCTAAACCCCAGCCTCAGGTAACTGAATCTATAGATGTTCACGTTCCTCATGTGAAATGGTGCAGCATTTACACACAGCCTAAGCACAGCCTCCAACATACATTAAATCATCTGTAGATTAGTTATACTATACACAGAAAGCACAATGTTGTTGCTACGTAAAAGACTTTTATATTATATTGTTTAGGGAATCATGACAAGAAAAACATCGGCCTGTGGCTGGCACCAATAGATTCTTTTTTCCCAAATCTATTTGACTGGCAGCTGGCTGAATCGAAGGCAATTTTATGTTCCTTTAGGAAACCTGCAGATTATATCTACAGTCTCCTGAACTTCTTACTTAATATTTGCTAATTACATTTTTACATTCACTTATCTATATTATGAAATACAAATGCATATCAAACTAACTTAAATTAGTTCAAAGTGGTGAATATAAATAGTTTCTTGTCTTGGCAGTTTTCTAGTTCATTAAGTCAACAGTCAATTAACTACTTGAGTTGTGTGCTCTCTTCCCTCACCATCACATTTATTGCTACTCAGCACACCAGCTAGCGGCAGGCTGCCAGCTCACTGCTAAGTAAGTATTTTCCTAGGCTACCATGTTATCTGGGCTAGAAAACAAACTGAAGTGTTTTAGTTTCAAAGGCTTTTCAATTAAGGATCCTGCTGTGCTCACGGCTTCATCTGGAAGCCAGAGCAAAGCATGTTCATGCCAGCAAGGGATTGAATTAAATGAGGCGCATGATCCTATCAACAAGAGCTAGAAATCAAGACTTTTCAAAAAGAATTGAGAATTGTCACCACCTCTGAATACAGAAGATCAAGATGAGACAGCTCAAGCAAGAGAGCTTTGTGGCATCGCTTTCACGTAGTAAGACATTTGTAACACACAGTGAATTGCCACTAATTCTTGAATTGGACACAAAAGCCATACTACTTTGGATGGTAGTCTGAGAACTATCTAGATGGGAGTGGCATCAGCTGAGAGGATGGGCACTATATTTTTAAAATGTGTGGGCTAGCACCGTGGCTCAATAGGCTAATCCTCCGCCTTGGGACGCCGGCACACGGGGTTCTAGTCCTGGTCAGGGTGCTGGATTCTGTCCCGGTTGCCCCTCTTCCAGGCCAGCTCTCTGCTATGGCCTGGGAGTGCAGTGGAGGATGGCCCAAGTGCTTGGGCCCTGCACCCGCATGGGAGACTAGGAGAAGCACCTGGCTCCTGGCTTCAGATCAGCACAGTGCGCCGGCCGCAGCACGCCGACCACAGAGGCCATTGGAGGGTGAACCAATGGTAAAGGAAGACCTTTCTCTCTGTCTGTCTCTCTCTCTCACTGTCCACACTGCCTGTCAAAAAAAAAAAAAAAAATGTGTGTTTGTGCTCTACATGTAAACATACATCTAGAAGGAGGGGTCTTCAAAAAGCCCATGGAAAATGTGTGTCATGAAAAAACTAAGCATGGATTTCAAAATTAATTGCCTCAAAATGAATGTCTTTTTACTCCATTTTTCTGTAAACTTCTTGAAGTACACATGCAGATATTTCACTAGAGAAGAGTCCACAAGAGTTGCAGATCAGGAACAAGTCGTCATTTCCCATGGTCTACAGCACCCTGAGCAGTGATGGAGATGCTGTATGTACCTCTGAAGTACATGGGTAATGAATGGGACAGACAGTTCAGCAACACAGGTGAGCCCAACACTCTTTACTATGGGATGGTAATGACACTGAAGACACAGCCAGTGACAATGCAGTATTGGTAAAAGCATCCATCCAGGGGCCGGCACTGTGGCACAGCAGGTAAAGCCACTGTCTGCAGTGCTGGCATCTCAGTATGGGTACTGATTCAAGTCCCAGCTGCTGCACTTCCAACTCAGCTCTCTGCAATGGCCTGGGAAAGCAGTGAAAGATAGCTTAAGTGCTTGGGCCCCTGTACCCGTGTAGGAGACCCGGAAAAAGCTCCAGGCTCCTCGCTTTGGATTGGTGCAGCTCCAGCCGTTGCGGCCATTTGAGGAGTGAACCAGAGGATGGAAGACCTCTCTCTCTCTCTCTGACTCTGCCTCTCTGTAATTCTGCCTTTCAAAAATGAATAAGTCAAAAAAAATCCATCCGTCTGGTTTGAAGAAATGACTTACTAAAGCTAACCAAGAGACCACCTTTTCATTGCCTGGGAAAGCACACAGAATCCCTTATCAAAAGGAACCACTTGCATTCCATGGCCAAAACATAAGAATGCATCCCTTTCCTCTGATTTTGAAGAAGTTATTTTTAAAAGTAAGTTGCAGAACACCAATTCGCAGGAAAACGACGTATTAACCAGATGACGACAGCCTCAGGGCACGGAGACCAGGATGCTCATCCTGCTCCGAGCTCAGAGCGAGATGTTCTTCCAATCAAAACAACATGAAATGCACTAAAATTTCAAAGAGTACTCACTGGAAACCTAACAACAGTAACATCTGTTTTTGTGGCCTCCACCAAGAAATCCATCCAAAAGTCCACGAGCTCTTGCTTGGCCACAGGCTGCTCTGTGGTCAGTTTCACAAAATGCTTATATATCAAAATTGTCTCTACAATAGACTTGAGGTACCTAAGAATGGAAAGATATAAAACCATACAACAGATAAGTTTAGAACCTCCTGTTCCAACATATCCCAGTTTCATTCTGTACTGTAACTTATATACTGCATTAATAATTATACATTCATGTTTTGACATGATAGCCCATTTAAATCTCACAAAAATTCAATGAAATCGACCGTTTTATACCCCATTTTATTTATTTGTTTGAAAGGCACAGTTAGAGAGAAAGAGAAGGAGGGAGGGAAGGAGAGGGAGAGAGGGAGAGAGGGAGAGAGGGAGAGAGGGAGAGAGGGAGAGAGGGAGAGAGGGAGAGAGGGAGAGAGGGAGAGAGGGAGAGAGGGAGAGAGGGAGAGAGACTGACTTTCATTCAGTGGTCCACTCCCCAAATGGACACAACGGTTGGAGCTGGGCCAGGTTGAAGCCAGGATCCTGAAACTCCATCCAAGTCTTCGACGTGGGTGGCAGGAGTCCAAGTACTTGGACAACCACCCATTGCATTCCCAGGCACATTAGCAGAGAGCTGGATGGGAAATGAAGTAGCCAGGACTCACTCTTATACAGGATACCAGAGGAGAGAAGGAGACTTAACCTGCTGTACCACGCCAGCCCCTCTTCCCCATTTCAGACATGAGAAAATGGAACTTTAAAGTGTGTAAGTAACTTGGTCTGGGGCAACACATCTACTTGAAATAACGAGTTTTAAAATTCAAGCAGTGGTAAATTTGTTTTTAAATAGCAGGAGTCTTCAAAAAGTCTATGGAAAAATACATATCATGATAAAACTACACATAACATTCAAAACATTCCTGCACAAAAGCCAACTTATTTTGATTCCATTTTGCCACAAACTTTTTCAAGTTCCCTGGTATGATTCCTTGAGGAAGCGTTCCTAAATAGACTACCTGGGATGGGCACTGAGCCTAGTGGTTAAGGCACTGCTTGAGATGCCCACGGGCCATATTGGAGGGCCTGGGCTGGAGTCTGCTCTGCTCCTGATTCCAGCTTTCTGTTAATGCAAACCCTGGGAGCCAGCAGTGACACCTTGAGTGACTGGGTTCCTGCCACTCACATGGGAGACACAGATTGTGTTCCCATGTCCCAGCACTGTCTCAGCGTAGGGCCTGTTGCAGGCATTTGAGGAGAGAACCAGCAGGTGGCAGCTCTCGCTCTTTCTGTTTCTTTCTCTTGTCTTGGCCTCTCAAATACATGTTAAAAGAAGAAATTCACATTCATTTGAAAACAAATAAATACACCCATAATAAGATTTTATTTTGCTCTGAAGCAATTCAGCTCATGTATTATATAAAATGGATATAAAACTTTAAAAATTATGCAATCAACATCAATAGAGGCATAACACAACAGCTATGGGTACATGGGAGTATGGACTTAGGTATAAGGAAGGCTTTAGGTCAGGGTCTGCTTCAAGACCAGACACGACTCATGTGTGTTCCACAAGTGGGTTAGAGCACTGGAAGAGGCACGCTCAGTAGGTGCCAAGACACAAACACATGAATCCACAAATTGCAAGTCCAGTATGAAGAGAGAAGAGTGTAAACCCCAGGTATGACAAGAGCTGAGGTTGGAATGACTCTGAGCAAACCTTCTTTGACAAGCTATAGAGATAACTTTATCTCATGGATGTGAGATTTCAATGTAGCAGGAAGGTCAGGCATGCATTTAAAATTCTACAGTTTTTATTTTTGTTTTGTTTTTGAGAGACAGAGAGAAAGGGAAAGAGAGAAACAGAGACAGAGTGAGAGCACTCCCGTCTGCTGGTTCATTCCTCAAATGCCCACAATGGCCAGAATTGGGTCGGGTCAAAGGTGGGAGCCAGGAACTCAACCCAGGACTCCCACAGAGGTGGCAATTACTTAAGCCATCACTGCTGCCTCCTAGGGTGTGCATTAGCAGGGAGCTGGAGTCAGGAGCTGGAGCCAAGAATTGAACCTGAGTACACTGATATGGGACACAGGCATCTTAACCACTAGGCTAAACATCTGATCTCCAGGCACGCACTTTAGAAAGTTCACTGTGGGAGTGACATCAGGAAGAAAACCTGAATGGAGGAAATCATTTAGGAAGCCATGGGTGCCTTAACATGGCAGCCATTTCCTCAAGTGGTTCCTGTATGTGGCCAGTGGCAGGCCCTGAGCTGCTCTGGAAGGCAGACCCTTCAAAGCCATTCCAGCAAGTGGTCATCACTATAACTGATGCAAAAATAAAGTTAGCATTGTTTTTCAAAAGGGTCCTACATGCAGATGGAATTTTTCATCTCTCCAATGCCAATAGATAGCAATGAGACTTGAGTGCCTTCCAAGAACAATCTGAAATTAGCAAACACATATCTAGGAAACATGCAGATGTGTCAGTCAAACTCTAATATCAAGAAATGAAAATCAAGAATGAGAATTCCCAAACTGAGACTACACCAGAAAAGACACAAAGTGAATGCATTGAGAGCAGAGGCCCAAGAAGAAGAGATGGAAACATGGTCTCAATTCCCAAAGCTCAATCAGACCTGCAAGTGTAGAATGGGTGGTCTCTCTATGATTTGTGGAACCTTGTCCAACTGAGACCAGTGGATTGGCTAATGTGGAAGAGGAGCAGGGCTAAATAAGTGACCAGGTAGTATCTCCTACATCCAAAGTCATCCATCCCTACATTCAACACCTCACCTTCATGAATCTCACACTCCCCTCTGAATTCTACATTTTATTCCATAAACACATAAAATCACCTAATTGGCACTTCAATTAATATGTGAACATGAGATTACTCAGTAAACATATTGCATAAACATGTAGGAGCGTATGATTACCATGCTGGTGTCTTCAGTTTAAAAAGCTTTTCTGATGCTTGAATGACTCGCATGTGGTCGTTGGCCAGGACACTGGCCCCTAGAAAAAATCCAACTTCCCAGTAGCTCTGGAGATTTTCCAAGTTTCCTTTTTTACCGAGAAGGCTACTTATCTTCACCCCTAGAAGGAGATCAGAAGTAGAATGTCAGAACACACCACAGACAGGCAAGCTAACTGTTCACCAAAAAGCAAGATTAGAATAGCTTTGTGAAGTTGCTGATTATTAAAATGGGTCAAGTTCATTGCAAAAAAGACTAATCAGAAAAGCTACACAGAAGAAAGTGAAAATTACCCTTTAATGTGAGAACCAAGGCAACTGTCTGATATACATCAGCGTAGAACTTCTATGTATGAAAATGTTTAACAGTAAAATCTCAGAAATAGTTTTAAAATAAAATTTCAGCTTTATTCTTACATCCCATAGTTTAATTCTATGATGTTTGCCTTTAGCCTTTGTATAAATTTGTCACACAAGCATGACATCCTGTTGTTCAGCATTTGGACAAAATATGTGTTTTGGCTGGCAAATAGTGTTATAGTATATAGAGGTGCTGTGTTATATTTACACAAATGTAGATGGATGGTCACTTTTTATTACCATGAACATTCATGTACAACAGCTTCGGGCACTTGTTCAATTATTTCCTTGTACTGAGGTCCTAAATATATATTTATTGGGGATGGAAGATACACCAATTTGTTGACACATAAATGCTGAATCCATATCTGTTCTCACTAGAAGCATCTGACAATGACTTCGTTCCCACACCATTTCCAGTTACAAGTACTATCAACTCCACTCATCTTTACCAAGATGATGGAGAGAAAAAAGGCACACAGCCCTTCTTGCCACTGAGGTTGACTATTTTTTCATACACGTGTATCTGTTCTGGGAATGAGCTTTGATGCACTCTGCATATATGACATATGAAACCAAAGCATATTACTTTTTAAGAATAGTTAAAAACATAACTTATTTTTAATTTAGGATTCCTTTTTCCTCTCTTTTGCGCTTTCTCTCTCTCACCAAGAATACAGGAATAAATAGCTTGGTACATAAAATCTGTTCTATATTTAGCATTATTTCCACTGGACAGAGTTGCAAAATAACTACTGATATATTTGATTCCAGGCTACAATATTTTTAAAGCTTTGGATCCAAAGGACCAAATGAATAAAGCATTATCTCTGATGTATGAGCCTACCATAGTTACCAAGTCCTTACCAGCTCGGTATTTTTATTTAAAAACATTTTTGACTAAAATTTTAAGCAGAGGTCATTACATCATCATTGGCTTATCTAGCTACCATTTTCCCAATTCTTTGATTCACCTATTTCTGTAATTTAAATTTTGACAACGCTCCCAAAAAGAACTGGTTGACTTGAGGGGCAAGTATTTAAGATTTTTAATAGTTTAATTTTCATCATGGTTTTATCACCTTGAGGCTGTTATTAGAGTCAAGGTTGTTTTACTAAAGGAAAGGCAGGAAACAAGCCTGTACTGAACAGTCATCCTATGCCTAGTACTCGGCACACTTTTCAATCCACACAACGCTATAATGAGTTAGAGATGATCTCCCTTTTGTAGCATGGAAAACAGGGCCCAGAGATGGTTAGCAACTTCTCTAAGGTAGCAAACTCGCAAATGGTAGAAATTAGATTCTTTCTACTTTAACTTTCCAGCATGAAGAATTTTAAACATACATGAGAGTAGAAAAAACTATAATGAAAGACCATATTTTCAACAAATGCTAACATTTTGCTATTGTTTCTCTGGATATTTCTCATGAACCATCTCAAGTTAAATCATAGACATTATGTCACTCTTAAATATTATAGCATATGCCTAAAAACACCTCATATATCCTATTCCATTATAGTACCTAACAAAAATAATAATTCTCTAACATTAGTGAATACCATTGGAGTGCCTGGTTTGATACCTGGCTTTGATTCCTGACTCCAGGTCCTGGAAGACAGTGGTGCAGGCTCACATAATTGGGCTCCTACTGCACACATGGGAACTCTGGATTGAACTCCTAGTCCCCGGCTTTGGCCTGGCCCAGTTGTGGTCATTATGTCCATGTGGGGAGTAAACCAGTGGATAGGAGTTCTTTGTCTCTCCCCTTCCTTCCCTCCTCTCCCATCTCTGTCTCTTAAATAAATATATACCTTTTTTTTTTTTTTTTTAATGACAAGTGCCTCACTTTTCCCTCTCTGTACTGAAAATAACTTGTACCCAGGAGATTTGTTTCAGAGAGTCTGGATTGCTAATGTCTAATAGGCTGCTGTGAACTATCCCAAGTAAGAAGTTGATTTTGATCCAAATGAACCTTCTTTTTTGTTGATGGAAATATGGAGTGTCCAACAGCCACTGCTTCATTCTGCCAGCTTTAAAAGACCAACTGTAATTGTGATTAAATTATTGTTTTAACAGAACAGATCACAGGCTTCTGTTCCACTACTTAGAAATGCTTTGTAAAATACTATTTGTCTTGTCCTAGAAGACATTATATAAAGATGAGTTAAATGATTTTTTTTAAAAGACTTGTTTATTTGAAAGTCAGAGTTACAGAGAGAGGGAGAAACAAAGAGAGTGAGGTCTTCTGTTTGCTGGTTCACTCCCCAGATGGCCACAACAATCAGGGTAGAGGCAGGCTGAAGCCAGGAGGCAGGAGGTTCTTCTGGGTCTCCTGTGTGGGTGGTAGGAGTCCAGGTGCTTGCGCCATCTTCTGCTGCTTTAATCAGGGCATTAGGAGGGAGCTGGATCAGAAGTGGAGCAGCCAGGACATAAACTGGTACCCATATGGGATGCCACCATTGCAGGTAGTGCTTTACCCACTATGCCACATCACTGGCCCCTTAAGTGATGGCTTATATAATACACAGCACATGTTCTTCTAAACATTTAATCTATGCATTTTGCCAAGCCATATTGAGTTATGTTACTACTAGAGACATTAGGAACTAACTGTACAAAAGAACCAAGTTTCAAAGCATTTTGTGGGGTAAAAAAAATAATAAATATGTTTTTTATTTTTTAATTTTTATTTAACTTTTATTTAATAAATATAAATTTTGAAAGTACAACTTTTGGATTATCTAAATATGTTTTTGAAGCTTTATTTAATTTATTTGAAATGCAGAGTGACACAGAGAGAAGGGGAGACACAGCGAGATAGAGACCTTCCATTGGCTGGTTCACTGCTCAAATGATCACAAGAGCCAAATCTGGGCCAGGCAGAAATCCAGGAGCCAGGAACTCCATCCTGGTCTCCCATGTGGGTGGCAGAGGCCCAGGCTCGTTAGAGGAAGCCAGATGGGAAGCAGAGCAGCCTGGGCTTGAATCTGGGTTCTGATAGGGGATGCCGTGATCCCATGTGGCAGCTTAACCTGCTGCACAAGAACACAAGCACCTCCCGAATCTCTTCTATTCTAACCAATCCATCCACACCTGTGTTCATGACATTAACTTTTTTAAAAAGACCAGAAGTGCTATCTTGTAGAATGTCTTCATATTCCAGAGTTGTCTGATGCTACTTCATGGATGTTGTTTAACTCTTTTCTCTGGATTCTATGATTCTTATTAAATGGATGTTCTAGAGATTAAGCTCTGGGTTAAAATTTTTTGGTGAGAAAATTCACAAGCGATCGGTGTACTTCATACTCCTCACTCCAGCAGGCACAAGTCTGGACAGCACAATATTAGTGAAGTGAGGCTGGATCACTGGTAACCAGATCTCTTGGTACCATATAAACATTGTAAAATGTAAGTTTTCAAGAATAAATATTTTCACTTAATGGTTTTAATTCTAGTTGATGATCCTCACCAGGATCAATTATTTCAACATCACTATCATTATCAGCTTTATCATTCCTTCTATTTTATTAACTAGTATTCTTTTGAAGACTCATTCTCTTGGAAAATAATACCATGTAGCATACATACTTCAAGAAGAGCTGTATTTTGTCAACTAGATGAAGAATCATCTCTCCTAGAAAGGATGAAAAATACCTATTTCTTTCCCTAAAATTTACAGTTTTACAAAAAGTTGCCTACCTTCACAGGTGACAAGAGTTGTTTAGTGGCTGGTAATGACTTTGTCTTTGTTTTGCTTATTTTTCCTTGATTAACTTTACAGACTGTAAGTTTTATATTCAGTAATATAAATGTTATATTTAATAATTTCTTTAATGTTCAATGAAAAATGAGATTCCAATAGTGATCTGTCTCAGTTGCAAATACAGTACAATTATCATTACTGTTGGGGATCCAAATCTATAATTCTGACTCTCTCCCATAAAATGTCTCATAGTTGAAAAATCTCACAGAAGATGAGAAAATAATATTTTATTTAGAAAAGTCTGAATATTAATTTTAAGGCTAATTAAGCTGAAAATAGAAGATGTAAGACGTGGTTTGCTTTTAAAAAATACTACTTCTAAATCGCCTAAACATTTATGATTTTTCAAAAATTGAAAAGTAAAACATAAATTCTTGGAGCCATCCCAAACACATACCAACAATAAACAGTCTTTGGGCAACAGATCAAAGAGGTTAAGTATCATTTCCTATGTTGAAGATGTTAACTTAAGATAGCATGTTTAGAAAGCTTCAGATTTGTTACTCATCTTATGACATCCTAATTTTAACTGTTTAACCTTATAAATAAATAAAAACTTCAAAAAGCATTTAAAGAAGTAACTTCATGATGTAAAGTCTGACTGGTATAAGAACTCAGCAATTCAGATTAAATTGTATGTTTGCAGGAGCCACCAGGAGGAATGGGAAAAGAAATGATTGAAAAATTTTTTTAGCAAATCTTTTCTGGTTTTTTTTTTCGGGGGGAGGGTGTTGGTGAGGAGAGACAGAGAAAGAGATAATATGTTCCCAATTGATGGTTCACTTCCAAAATGCCCACAATGGTTGGGGCTGGGCTAGGCTGAAGCAGAGAGCTAGAAACTCAATCCAGGTCTCCTACATGAGTGGCAGGGACCCAACCATTTGACTTAACATTTGCTGCCTCCTAGGGTGTGCATTATCAGGAAAATAGAACCAGGAGCCACAGCTGAGACTTGATCCCAGGTACTCTGATATTGGATTTGTGCTTCTTAACTGTTATCTTAGCCACTAGGCTAAATGCTTGCTTCTGATTGGAGCATTTAAAGAATGTAATTATATATCTTTAGAATATGCCAAATTTGTCATTAACTAGTCTTGTTTTTATTATATACTATTAATATCATATTAGACACATTTATTTAGCCAACCCATCTAAAATTCCTTGAATATCCATTTAATCTTATCTTACCATATAAAAATTTACCTGAAGTCAACCTATTTTACTTAGCATAATTAATGATTACATTGAATCTAAAATGGTGAGTTTTAGTTATTTTGTCAATGAAAGACATACAATTTTGAATGTATATCACAAGATTTTAGAAACCTGAAACTTAGCTCTTACAAAAATCAAATTTTGAGTCTGTGTAGGTTACATAATTTTTAAATTTTAAATTCAATTTCTTATATTTTCTGGGTTTTTAAAGATTTATTGATTTATTTGAGAAGCAGAGTTATAGACAGAGAAAGGGAGAGACAGAGAATGAGGTTTTTCATCTGCTGGTTCACACCACAAATGGCCACAATGGCCAGAGCTGGAGCAATTCGAAGCCAGGAGCCAGGAGCTTCCTCCAAGTCTCCCACGTGGGTGCAGGGGCCCAAGCACTTGGGCCATCTTCCACGGCCTTCCCAGGTCATTAGCAGAGAGCTGGATCAAAAGAGGAGCAGTAAGGACACAAACTGGTGCCCATATGGAGTGCTGGCACCACAGGCAGAGGCTTAAGCCACTATGCCACAGTGCAGGCCCCAATTTCCAATATTTTCAAATGCTTAACATGTAATAAAAATGAGTTATTGGAAAAAAACAAAATATATTTTCTTTACAATGTTATATTAATCACAGTTCATCAAAGTGCTGACCAGCTCCACATTCAAATTTTTTTTTTGGACAGGCAGAGTTAAGACAGTGAGAGAGAGAGACAGAGAGAAAGGTCTTCCTTTTTCCATTGGTTCACCCCGCAAATGGCTGCTACTGCCAGTGTGCTGCGGCTGGCGCGCTGCGCCGATCTGAAGCCAGGAGCCAGGCGCTTCCTCCTGGTCTCCTATGTGGGTGCAGGGCCCAAGCACTTGGGTCATCCTCCACTGCCTTCCCAGGCCACAGCAGAGAGCTGGACTGGAAGAGGAGCAACCAGGACAGAACCAGTGCCCCAACCGGGACTAGAACCCGGGGTGCTGGCGCCACAGGCAGAGGATTAGCCTAGTGAGCCGCAACACTGGCCTTCACATTCAATTTAAAAATCAGAATTAGGAGTCAGTGCAGTGTAGCAGGTCAAGTCACCACCTGTGATGCCAGAATTCCATAAAAGCTCTAGATTGTCTCAGCTGCTCTGCTTCTGATCCAGCTCCCTGCTAAATCACCTTGGAAGGCAAAATAAGATGCCCCAAGTACTTGGGCCCCTGCCATCTACATGGGCAGGGGACACCCAGATAGAGTTCCAGGCCCAGCCACGGCTGTTGGTGGCCAACTGGGGAGTGAACCAGTGGATGGAAAATCTGTCTCTGTCTCTCCCTCTCTCTCTCTCTTTCTGTCTGCCTTTCGAATGAATGAATGAATGAATGTTTATTAAGAAAAAGTGAGCTTTAGAATAAGTGCATTTTCAAACTGCTGTTAGCATTCTATCCACATATGAAAATCAAGGGGCCGGCGCTGTGGCACAGTGAGTTAATGTCCTGGCCTGAAGTGCTGGCATCCCATTTGGGCGTTGGTTTGAGACCCGGCTGCTCCACTTCCCATCCAGCTCTCTGCTACGGCCTGGGAAAGCAGTGGAAGATGGCCCAAGTCCTTGGGCCCCTGCACCCACTTGGGAGACCCAGAAGAAGCTCCTGGCTCCTGCCTTCGGATCAGCACAGCTCTGGCCGTTGAGGCCAACTGGAGAATGAACCAGCAGATGGAAGACCTCTCTCTCTCTCCCTCTGCCTCTGCCTCTCCTCTCTGTGTAACTCTGACTTTCAAATAAATAAATAAATCTTAAAAAAAAAAAAAAAAGAAAGTCAATGTCAACTCCAGAGACGACTTATAGGCATCGACAAACCTTCCTTTTGAGTTCAGGAACACAGCAATAAAAATTAGTTTTAAATCACAGCTCAGAGTACCACTCCAATCTGGTAGCAATAAACACTCCATCACTTTTAGTCTGAGGTTTCTAAAAAGTGTTTTACTATACACACACTTTCACAGGTAAATTTCCCAGAGCATTACATATGGGTCACTTGTAAGCCCTTAACAAATAAAGTAAAAAAGGACCAGGACTCATTTTTCTTTAAGGAAAATTTTATATTCCTCAGTTAAAAATCTTAAGGGGCCGGTGCCGCGGCTCACTTGGCTAATCCTCCACCTGCGGTGCTGGCACCCTGGGTTCTAGTCCCGCTTGGGGCACTTGGATTCTGTCCCGGTTGCTCCTCCTCCAGCCCAGCTCTCTGCTGTGACCCGGGAGGGCAGTGGAGGATGGCCCAAGTGCTTGGGCCCTTCACCCCATGGGAGAACAGGAAGAAGTACCTGGCTCCTGGCTTCGGATTGGCGCAGTGCCAGCCATAGCAGCCGTTAGGAGAGTGAACAAACGGAAGGAAGACCTTTCTCTCTGTCTTTCTCACTCACTAACTCTGCCTGTCCAAAAAAAAAATCTTAAAGGAAAAATTTCCACTACAATTCACATCTTCATTACAAATCTCCCCCTTGAAAAATAAGGCCAAATGTCTGAAGTAATAACTCCTATAGGAGTTGGGAATGGGGGTGGCATTTGGCCTAGTGGTAAGACACTTGAGATGTTCATATCCCATGTCAGAATGCCTGGCTCTGCTCCTAACCCCAGCTTCCTGTTACTGCAGACCCTGGCTGGCAGAAGTAATGGCTCATGTGATTGGATTCCTGCCACCCACATGAGAGACCTGGATTGAGTTCACATCTCTCAGTTTTAGTCTGGCCCTGTCCCAGTCGTTATGGGCATTTGGGGAGTAGATGGGATCATGGGAGTTTTGTCTATCTGTCTCTTTGCCTGTCAAATAAATTTAAAAACAAACAAACTTAGAAATGTTTTGAAACAGGGTAGTTAAAGACTCAGGAAAGTAAAATCTGATTGCCATAGACAACAGTATTCCAGGATCTAGAATCTCAAAAAAATGTGATCAAAGACAAAATCATGAAAATTGCTCAAAACGTCATCCCTAATATGCTTTAATTTCTTTAAATTCAAGGAAGCGTCAGCAGATGAGACAATATTTACAGATGAAAGGAACAAAAGCACATTCTATCCATGAATGCAATTCAGAGATGGTCTCTGAGGAGGTTAGACACTGCCCAGACTGCCACCTATCTCCAACACCAACACACTCACATGGATGCGGGTGCACAGGAGAAATAGAAAAGCAAATAACGTATTATTTTTTTAAAGCATCAGGAGGGGTCCAGTGTGTGGTACAGTGGGCTAAGCCACCAGCTGCCACACCAGCACACACCATGTGAGTGCCATTTCGAGACCCAGCTCCGTTACTTCTGATCCAGCTCCCTGTTAATGCACCTGGGAAGCAGAAGAAGATGGTCCAAGTGTTTAGGTTTCTGCCACCCACGTGGGAGACCCAAATGGAGTGCTAGGCCCCTGGTTTGGACCTGGTCCAGCCCCAGCCGTTAAAGCCTTTTGGGGACAGAAGACATCTCTCTCTCTCTCTGGAGCATTTTCAAATAAATAAATTTTTTAAAAACACAAAGCATCAGGAAAGCAGAACCTAAAATAGCAAGCATTTCTAATGTGCCACAAAAAACTAACCTTAGTTAGGAGCTGGAAGCTGAATACAGAGCCCATACTGACAATACTAACTTGAGCTGCAACAATAAATATTAACCAGGGGACTTTTAGGAACAGATAAAATAAACTTTATACTGTTTTCTGGACTTTGCACAATAGTATGAAACACCAACCAAGAAGCTACAATAAAAGAATTTTTTTCCAGGAAGTCAGATGTGATAGAAAGCAAAGGCATCTATCTATGAAGAGTTTTTTGTTTTGTTTTTTTGCTTTGCTTTTCCTCTGGGGCAGGATTTTTGGCACATCAGGTTACATTGCTGCTGAGGATGCCTGCATTCCACACTGAAGTATCTGGAATCAAAGTCCCATCTCCACTCCCATTCCAGTTTCCTACTTATGTGCATTCTGGGAGGCAACAGATGATGGTTCAAGTACTTGGGTTCCTACCAACCAACGTGGGAGACCAGAATGAAGTTCCTAGTTTCTGGGTTCAGCCTATCCCAGCCCCAGCTGTTGCAGGCATGGGGGGAGTAAAACAGCAGTAAACCCCTCAATCTGTCTCTCTCTCTCCCTCTGTCACTCTGCCTTTCAAATAAATAAATCTTAAAAAAGAAAAAACTGGGTTTCTTTGCACCAAGCTGGGTCCAGTTTCGTGAGTACCATGTAAAACAGCAGGCTATAATTACCAACTTTCCGAAGCTCAAAGGAAGATTCAAACTGGTGACCGGCTGCCAGGAGGAGGACAGCATAATTAATTCCCGACTGCAGTGTTGGCTCAGACTCAAATGCCTTTTTGAACCTATAAAAAAAAACCACAAATGTACAAGTTTACTTTCTCAATCATGAAACCCTGGGTGTGCAGTAACTTCTGTTTGCATAACTCCAATGCCTGAGCAAGAAATATTCCGTTGGCCTTCACCCCAGAATGTAGCGTGCTCTTAGATTTAATGGTTAAGTAACTGCACCTCCTTGTTCCCGGCTCCACTGCATTCCTCTCCTTACGCTGCCCTCAACCTAGTGACCTCAATCTTTTTAAAAATCCTCTCTTCAACTGCCTACGAGGAATGAGTGAATGCATTTAGGTAATTACAGAAATTTGACCATAAGGATCCTGCACATATTTCTGAGAACTCTTAAAAATAAACCAAACATTGAAGATGATTGTATGGGTAACATACTGAAAAGATCAGTTCCATACGACTGACATAGAATGTCCATTACAGGGAGGAATGAAGAAAAACAGACTGTGCTTCTGCATACTAATTTTGGCTCCAAGTACCCTTTTCTGAATATGCATGAAACTGTATATTAACCTTTGAAAGCACTTCAACACTTGAAAGGACTTCAGTGTTAATACCCACTGTATTTTCAAGGTAATACTTCCTAGCACCCACTTAAGTGTTTCTTCACAAACATCATTAAACAGGCCATAATATTCAGCATTATTTCTTCTGTGAACAGGGAGAGGAAAATGAAAACAAACTCTCTACTGAATAATAGAATCTGCCTCAGACAAGCACATGTTAAATGAAATCAGGCTGAGGAAAACATAGGACTAATGAATGACCATTTAATGATGCAACAAAGTTATATAAGGGAAAATAATTACAATTCCAAGACAGAGTCATTCCTACTTAAATCATAATTGTGTGAAAGAAATATAAGAATAGTAAAAGTGGTGTTAATCCCAATACTGCAAATTACACTGTATTCTTAGCTTTTATATATACTTGAAATTTTCCATAATTTTAAACATGAAATATCAAATGAAAACATCTGTTTTTTTCTGAATATTGAAGATTCTTTGCCTTTTTAAAACTGTCTTTAAGTATAACAAGCCTCTCTGAGTGGGAACAAAAATCAAATAAATATTAATCTTAACTAGTTGGCAGTGACTGTTATATACCAGTAGGATAAGAAAAAAATTTTCCAACTGCATCACTGTAGGTGATTAAATAGTACTTTTATCTCTCCAGAAGTATAGATGTTTCCACTCTAAAATCGAAAAAGTATGTACCCAAATGCAGATATTCAAAGTCTTATCAATCAAAGACATCATTTACAAGGCTCCAACCCTTATATGTCACAAAGGCCTTTGTTTAAAGGCCCAACAAAAAAGGCAGAGTTAGAGAGAGAAAGAGAGAGAGGAGAGAGAGCGAGATCTTCCATCTGCTGGCTCACTCCCCATATGGCAGCAACAGCCAGGAGGAACTTCCTCCAGGTCTCCCACGTGGGTGGCAGGACCCAAGCACTCAGGCCATCTTCTGCTGCTTTTTTCCCCCAGGCCATTAGCAGGGACGCTGGATCAGAAATAGAGCAGCCAGGTCTTGAACTGGTACCCAGGCAGTGGTTTAACATGCTGTGCCACAGGGCCGACCAGGGGGATAACTCTATAAAGTTATAAATAGTTCTGGCAGGTTAAGCCTCCACCTGCAATGCCAGCATCTCATATGGGTGCTGGTTCAAGACCCAGCTGCTCTACTTCCTATCCAGCTTCCTCTTAATGGCCTGGGAAAGCAGTGGAAGACAGCCCAAGTACTTGGGTCCCTGCACTCACATGGGAGACACAAAAGAAACTCCTGGCTTCTGGCTTCAGCCTAGCCTAGCCCCAGACATTGTGGCCAATGAACCAGCAGATACAAGCTCTCTCTGTTCCTCTCTCTGTAACTCTGCCTTTCAAATAAAATTTAAAATAATAACAATAATAAAATTAAGCTTGGGCTTGACATAAACAGAAAGTTCTTTCCTCTATGAAACTACCAATTGAAACCCAGGCCCAACCCAACTTAAGGCATGTGTTGTGGTAACTGGCTTCTTAGCTTATCTGGTTAATAAAGGAAAGGGAGAACCATGGTGCGAGAAAATAGAATGATCTCCAGTCTCAATAATGTTTACAAAATTTCTAGGACATAAGATCCAGGGAAATGTGACCATAAAAGCTCCCCTAGAGTTGATTCAGACATTGCAGTTTGTAGATATGGTCTTGAAAAATAATCATTACAAAGATGGTAAAGAAAACAGAGAAAAGGATGGAAAAATAGATTAAAGAATAAGCAAACAACTTTAACAGAAAGTTAGAATTTAAAAAACAGGAATAAAACAATCTGAAACATATAATCTTGAAAATCATAACTAATTGCTTGGGATTAAAAGCAGACTAGAGGGGCAGTGCTGTGACGTAGCAGATAAAGCCACTGTCTGTAGTGCCGGCATCTCATATGGGCGCCGGTTTGAGTCCCGGCTGCTCCACTTCCAATCCAGCTCTCTGCTATGGCCTGGGAAAGCAGAAGAAGATGACCCAAATCCTTGGGCCCATATACCCACACGGGAGACCTGGAAGAAGCTCCTGGCTTTGGATTGGCACAGCTTTGGCAGTTGCGGCCATCTGGGGAGTGAACTATCAGATGGAAGACTTCTTTCTCTCTCTCTGCCTCTGCTCTCTGTAACTCCGGCTTTCAAATAAATATTTTTTTAAAAAAGTCAGATAAGACAGAAGACAGTTTGTCAATACAAAGTATCTTCACTGAAGTTGAAAAAGAAAGAAGAGGGGGAAGAAAAACCCAAAATGGGGCATAAGAGACACACTGGACATTTTTAATAGTGTAACAATATTTTATTATATCCACATAAAGGAAGACAGAGAATATGGACTACAACAAACGTATGAAGACATAATCAATAAAAATATTCTCAAACTAATGAAAACATAAATGCACAAGATTCAAGAAGCTCAGCAACCATTAAGCAGGATAAAATCATAACAGTCTAAATGTGGGGACCAAAACCACAGAGAAAAACCCAAGATCAGCCAAAGAAAATGATGTATTAACTTCAATGGAGCAATAAAACTGCCAGCTGAATTTGCAATATAAACTATGGGAGCTTAAATTCAGAGTAACAAAAGGAAAAAACAAAAGAGTGGAAAAGGTATCTTCAGATAAGTGAAAACTTAGTTACTAGAAGATCTGCATGACAAAAATTACTAAAGTACTTCTGACTAAAGGAAAAGTGATTCCAGTTGGAGGCACTGAGCTTTAAGAAAAAATAACATTAACAATGGTAAATATATGGCTAGATTTAAAATATATGAACTACATAGAGTTCTTGACTTACGATGTGGTTATATTTTGATACACTCATCCTAAATTGAAAATATCAACAATGTATTTAATGCGCCCACCTTCCGAACACCATAGCTTTTCCAGGGCTACTTTAAACATGGCCAGAACACTTACATCAGCTTACCGCTGGGCAAAATACATCCAGCATGAAGCCTATTTTGTAATGAAGTGCCGAACATCTCAGGTAGCTTACTGAATACAGAAGTCTGTACAGTCTCGGATGTTCAGAGAATTACATGGTATACTGCTGGCCTGGGGAAAGATCTAAATGCAGTCTTGTTTCCACTGAATGTGCATCGCTTTTGCACTCTTGTAAAGTCAAAAAATCATATGTCTAACCACTATAAGTCAGGGACCATGGGTATTTAAAAGCTACTGATGATTTAAACTGCTCTAAACTTCTTTCCCTGTTCAGAAAACAGTAAAATACAAGTTTAAGGTAGAAAATAAATCAGGATTGGAGGGCTAAATGAAAAAAAGAATACATGAGACAAATGGAAAATAATTAGTAACACGGAAGCTGTAAGTGCTGAATTCACTCCCAGTTCCAGGTTCCTGCTAGTGTGTACCCTGGGTGGCAGCACATGGTGACTCAAGTACTTGGGTCCTCTGCATAGGAGACCTAGAGTGTAATCCATAAACTGTATTTTGGAAATTTATATTTACTAAATAAAAAAAATTTAAAAAAAAGAAAGATATGCTTGTAAACTGGGCAGCCCACTTCTGAATAACCCAAGGGTCAAAGCAGACAACACTGAAAATGAGGAGGTATTTGAATCCAATCATATTGAAAATTCAGTATGTCTTCCAACTCCACCACTTGGGGCAAGTCAGCCTGAGCATGTCCCAAATTATACATCTCTTCCCTCTCCCATTCCCACTCCCATGTTCAACAGGGATCACATTTCAGTTAATTTTCAACACTTAAGAATAACTGTGCATCAATTACAGAACTAAACCAGTCATATTAAGTAGAACAGATAAAAAAAAAAAAAGCATACCGGGGATTCCAATTCAATCCCATCGAGGTGGCATGTACCAATGCCATCTCACTGTTCCAGGTGATCAATTTCAGTTCACAGTTGGTCATGGTGGAGGGACTGGGAGTCAAAGGGAGCACATAGACAAGTCTAGTACCTGCTAATACTAACCGATGGAGTAAATAAAGGGGAGAGTGATCCAACATGGGAAGTGAGATACTCAGCAGACTCATAGAATGGCAGATGTCCTAAATAGCACTCTGGCCTCAGAATCAGCCCTAAAGGCATTCGGATCTGGCTGAAAAGCCCATGAGAGTATTTCAGGCATGGAAAGCCAAGACACTCTGGCAAAAGATCTCTGTGAGTGAGATCCCAGTGGAAAGAACAGGTCATCAAAGAAGGAGGTACCTTTCTCTGAAGGGAGGAGAGAACCTCCACTTTGACTATGACCTTGTCTAAACAAGATAAGAGTCGGAGAACTCAGAGGGCTTCCATAGCCTTGGAAACTCATGACTGGAGCATAGGGAGATTACTGATGCCATAGACAGGAGTGTCAATTGGTAAAGTCAACAACAGGAGTCACTGTGCACTTACTCCTCATGTAGGATCTCTATCCTTAATGTGCTGTACATTGAGATTTAATGCTATAACGAGTACTGAAACAATATATTTCACTTTGTGTTTCTATGGGGGTGCAA